CATCAGATATTGTCCAAGATTAACCTTCAGGGTGGATATAACTCCCTATAAGCCTCGCACCGATGACCTAGTTGATGTCATCATTTACCCAGAATGCTTTGAGTGTTAATAAAATGGCTCCGTCCATGTTAAAATATATTTAAATTTTTTTTACAAAACTAAACAGCCTACAGTATTTTTACAGTCTTTATTTTAGTTAAAATACGTTTATCAAATAAAGTTTAATGTTACAACTAATCGTGGATCCCTTTAAGATCAAAAAATGATGATCATATTATACTTGAGATTATTTTATACATGAATAAATATGGTAGTTGAATAAGATCCACTAGGTACATAGATAAATAGATTGATTGCCTGATTGTTTTGAGTAGTGAGAGGCTGATCCTGATGGAGCTGGACTCTTCTGCAGAGATGGAAGGATCTGTCCATGGGACTAGAAGCTGCACAGAGCCGGAATTCCTGGAACAGCTGCAATGAAAAGGACGTTGTTTAAAAAAATTAGGCAAACTGGGAAAACGGACAAAGGTGCTGTGGTCAAAAAAGACCAACTCGAAATTGAAAGTCATCAAGGGCAGTGCTGTGTTCTTAGAGCAGTAGTGTTTCTACAGGAATGCACGGCGGTGGCATCATGCAAAACTGGACCAAAAAAATGTTTCTTCAAAGTGGTAGTTATGAAATGTTTCTAAATCCAAGTTGTAAGGCAACAAAATAAAGAAAAACTTGAGATTAAAACCTGTTATCAGTTTTTTAAAAATACAGTAACAGTACCACCTTGTGGTGAGACAGGAGTGACACCCCCCCCCCCCGAAAAAAATTAAAAAAAAAATAAAAATAACAAGGCTTTTCTTCCTGTAAACTGACGAACATTGTGTGTAAAAGCATAAATTGTTTTTTTTTTTTAATGAGTATTGTTCATTTTGTTTCTTACGAACCCCGCGAGGGGACATAGGGGATTTTTTTTTCTTTTTGCGTTCCCACGCAAAAGTATTGCGTTACCTCGCAATACCTTCGCATTACCTCGCAATACATTTTTGCATTGCCACGCAAAATGTTTTGCGTTCCCACGCATTAAGTTTAGTGTTATATATTTATTTTCTACCAAGAAAACTCAGCAATGCTGTGCGGTCGGTGCGGTGTGCACTCATGACAAACTGCCCACAAAATAAACAGGTAGGCTTAAATGTAATTAATTTAACGTAAATACTGAATGATTTACCAATATCAATTACTTGAAAATTGCTACGACGCATTTCAAACTCAAAATAGGTTTATTGTTCACAAGTTTCGGTGGAAAATCGTAGTTCAGACTCACGCACTACATGTATAGCTTCCTTCCTGATGGGAGATGAGGGAATGTGAGTGCTAATGAATGTGAGAGAATAATCCTCATTTCAAAAGATAGTAGTTAACTTTTTCCTTTTGCTTCATATTTCATGACTTTTCCTAATTTGATGGGGACAACTGATAAAACATAAAATTTTCATAATGATATTTTTTCAATGTGCTGAACACATACTGCACGCATTGGTCATCCTCAGGGGTCAATTTGACCCCAAGCTGATTTAGCCTGTTAAAACGTGTCTGTCAGTGTGTGTGACCTAACATGACCATACCTGCAGGTGCAGAGATACATTTGAGTTGATTTTTCTAAGCAAGGTGCTATATAAATAAACTTTTACTGACTGATTTATAAGGGGCAGATATACGATTTTTTTCTTCACTCTTCACCCTTTGCTTTCAGAACTTTTATTTTTTTTTGTCTTTTGATTGTTGTACTTTGTTTGCTTGACTGAAAAGGTTTTTAATAAATTATATTTACATTGCCTAATAATTTTATTATTATCATTAATACCTCTTTATAATACATTTACAATATACTGTATATGTAGG